GCCACCCACCAATACTCACCATACTTTGCTGAATGAAAAGCACTTGTGCTCCAACCAGAATGTTTGTTTCCACAATTGATTATTCTGGCAACTATATTCCTTCACAGTTGTGATTCTTGGAAACTTGTCATTTTAGAGCCCAATTCTGAAATAACTTTTTCTGACTTCATTTATTTTAATATCCCAGAATAGCTTCTTGAGCTATCGGTTGGATGATGCAGGAAACTATTTATAGCAGGATGAATACTCTCTGTAACAGATGCTACGTTTTGAGGACAATTAAAAAAAATTGACAGGGCTTGTGGTATTTTAGGTTGTAAGGCCAACAAGGCAGGTAAGGCATAAAGTTGGAGCACAGAAATATTTGAATGTGTTTTTTGGGCAGTTTAGCTGAAGTCTGGGGTAGGCCTCCTATGAAGAAGGCCGAGACGGAGTAACTCCAACAACAAAGTGATTTTTCAAATTCTTCTTGACAGATTGGCTTAGGGTGGCCTGGGCTCTGTTTGTCTAGTACTTTATAACCCAGGGCAGATGAAACAGTATTGTCATAATTAAGGTCAATGCTGTCTTAGGTGTTGTCAATATCTATCTAAATAGAAAATTAGGTGATAGAGGAACGAATGTCAAAGTCAACCTAACTTTTTTTTTTGTCAACCTTTTTTTAAAAAAAATCAATTTATTGGGGCTCATACAATTCATCACAATACATAGATCAATTGTGTAAAGCACATCTATACATTTGTTGCCCTCATTATTCCCAGTCAACCTAACTTTTAAAGGGCCTGTCCTTATTACCTCCTCTCCTATTTCATAGGTCCACTCCTCAGATAGACCTAGTCTTTGTTTCACGACTAAAACATGCTTGGATGACTCAAAAGGGGAGAACTGAGTGATATATTCAAAGCAGATAATAACCTGGACTTTGGCATTGCTCTTAGAGACTGAGGTGTCCTCTAAGGAAGGAATTGCAGAGATATGGTTCCTTTAAAGAGGGGTAAATATATATTCTTCTTTGCTTATTGTTTCACTAAATGGTTCAAGGTCAATACTCCAGCCCTCAGATATTCAACTCACAATCCCAAACTTAGCAAAACAGAACTTCTGGTAGCATTCTCCAACATACCAGCCAATTCAACCTAGTTGAGACAGTTCTGACTCACAGAAACCCTACAGGATGAGAACAATCCCATAGGATTTCCAAAGGTGTACATCTTTACAGAAGCAGACTGCCACCTTTTCTCCTGCTGAGAGTGTGGGTTTCAACACAGATCTTTCCCCTAGTAGCTGAAAACCTAACTCCTGTGCCACCAGGACTGTCCCCAATGGAATAAAAACAAGATTACCAAATATTGCCATGAGTCAATTCCATTCAACACGCACACTCTCTCAACTGCTCTATTTCCAACTGTCCTCGTCCCTTTCCTTCCCCTTCAGTGCACGCTGAATTATGATCCTGTTTGTTCAGTTCCTCTTCACTGGAGTGGAGCTGTAGCTTATCCAGTACACGTTAAGAAAACAACAAAAAAGAGGATCATAAAGTAAACTATTTAGAACGAGAAATCCCCCAAAAGCTTTTATCTTTCCCCAGGGACTTCGTTAGGCACTTTGTCAGGAAACCTATATGGTACTGGTTGTTGATTGCAAGCTGCGTTTTTCTCACTTAGCACACTTCCTTACTCCCAGCACCCTTCACCTGACCTTCAGGGGTCATGTAAACGCGCTAGCTTGGTCTGAGCGGACTGCAAGGGATGGTTGCTTGTCTTTAAACTCGTTGGCCCTTCCCTGCGGCTCAGAGCCAGTACACTAGGGAGGTGCTAGCAAAGTGTTGCGGAACCAAGTCGCCCTCAGTCTCATCTAAGGACACCAGTGGTTTGGAGAATGGCGTTTGGAATGGCAAGGTGGTGTAACAGAACGGATGCTTCTCTTTCACTGGAAAGGATACCTTGGCAATGTGCGACTAGGCTTCCGCCTCCACCGCAGCGTACCACGAAGCGGGCGAGAATAGGGGAAAATAGGTAATCCCCCCACCGGAAGTCTCTTTTGAAATAAAGAAAATCGGCGGAAGTAGGCCAACGGCGCTTCCGCAGTGTTTCGCTTCAAGTCGGCTCCAGGACTTTCTTTTGAAAGGGGAGGCCCTCCAGAGCTCTCTGCGGACGGGAGCTGCTGCGGCGAGGTCAGCGCGCAGGCTCAATTGGCCAGTTCCGTCTTTCAACCTCCTTCAAGCGGCCGGATCCCTTCCCAGGTTCCTGTGCCCAGGCATGACGTATGTGGGGCGGTGCTTCAGGAGGAATACCGCGTGAGCCGGGATCTCGCGAGACTTAGTTTCTTCGCAGTTCTCGCGCTGCGGCTTTGCTCTCGTCGGAACGAGATCCTTCGAGATCTTCTCCGCCTCCGCTACCGGCACCCCAGTTGCGGCCGCTGAGCCGGAGCCGGCCTGAGCAGCGCTTTAGGCCGCGGCCACTCTTTAAAAAACTTAGGTGCTCGCGGCCACACCCGCACGCCCTTCGCGGAGCTCCAGTTCTCCGGTCCGCGCGACCCGCTCTCCGCGCTCCAGCCCCACCGGGGTCCGTGTCCTGTCTCGCTGGACGGACCCGGGCCGGAGCCTGAGCAGAAGGCGGCGCCATGTCGGTGGTGGGCATCGATCTGGGCTTCCAGAGCTGTTACATCGCGGTGGCCCGCGCGGGCGGCATCGAGACGATCGCGAATGAGTATAGCGACCGCTGCACGCCGTGAGTCGGGGCCGGGCTGACCGCGTGCACGGGCGGGAGGGGTGGAGTTGGCTGCGGGCTGAGACCCGCGCGGCTTGGGGACCGTGCGCCAGGGAGGGTCACCTCTGTGTCGTGGTCCCCGTGGGTAGGGCCCTGCCCTGTGTCCAGTCGTGACTAGTGGCCACGCTGTACTGCGGATGCGCGCCTGCGCCTGTGGTGAGGCTTTTCAGCGGTGTCTCCCAGGGGCTGAGCGAAAGGGAGGCTGGGGTGTGGGATGGACCAAGACCCTCTTTCTAGAAGGCCGAAGCTAGGGCCAGAGCGTATTGGCGTTTCTTAAGCTTAACCGAGTGGAGAGCCCAGTACACAACTGGCGCTTAATTAAAGTGAGTGGGATTGGACCGGTTCTAGTGGCTACCGGTGTCGAGACCCACGAGCGGCTTGAGTCCCACGTGAGTGGGGGCGGGGGGGCGCCCGGAAGAGGGCGCGGAGGCACGAGCTGGACGGACCAGGGATTACGGATAGTTGCGGAAAAGAGATTTAATAAAATCAATGCTTGCTTGGTCACTTTGTATTTTTGTTTCTACACTGTTGAGTATAGTTAACTACGAATCCATCGTTAGCATCCCACTTGATGGTAATACATTCCAACAAGGGTGTTGCCCTCAATTGTTAATGAATGGCTTTGATTTTTTTAATCAATTTGTTAGGGGCTCATACAACTCTATCACATTCCACACATACATCAATTGTGTAAAGCGCATTTGTACATTCATTGCCCTCATCATTCTCAAAACATTTCCTCTCCACTTAAACCCCCGACATTAGGTCCTCATTTTTCCCCTCCCTCCCCGGAATGGCTTTGATTTTTATAACCTTTACGACCAGTATAGATGGAAAACAATGGGACTCATCCGGGTTTTATCTTGGGTAAAATGAAGAGTGCTTTTTGAATACCTTTCAAGACAAAATGTTTCCAGAAGCTTCGTATTGACAGGTGCTCTGTATTTTTCGAGGGTCTTTTAACGTTGGTAAGTTAAAAAAAAAAGTCCTTGGCGTTCCAGTTCATATATGGACAGGTAAATTCCAAATAGTGTGTGGTTAACCCTTTCTTTGTGGTCAGTGGGTGGCATCAGACAAATTCAGTACAGTAGTACACTTTGAATACTTATGATGCAGACAAACAAAACAGGTCCAATCAAAACGATGGCTTACAAAGAAATCATCTGCTAGACCAGTTAAATCAAGGAAGAGCAATTTGGCAGAGCAAGTTAAGGCATTTGTTTCTTAATTCAAAGGAGTACTTTTGATAAATATTTCTGGAAGGACACAGATCATCACAGAAGATTATTATGACAGATTATGGAAAATGGAAAATTGCAGTAGTAAGAAAAATATAGGAATTTTTTCCTATCACAACCTGCCTACCCTTTTTCAGGGTGTCAGGGACTGATCTATGAAAATTTCACAGGGGAACCTTACTCCTCCATCTACTTAACCCTCCTAATCTTAACGTCTTTCAGTTTTCAAACTTCAAAGAGCATTTAAATTAACAGCGGTTCTCAACCTGTGGGTCGCGCCCCCTGACCATCGGAAAACATAAATATTTCATAATATGTAATTACACATTTTGCGGTTAATCACTATGCTTTATGTTCAATTTGTGACAATGAAAATACATCCTGCGTATCAGATATTTACATTATGATTCATAACAGCAAAATTACAGTTATGAAGTAGCAACAAAAATAATTTTTTGGTTGGGGTCACTACAACATGGGGAACTGTAGTAAAGAGTCTCTGCATTAGGTAGGAAGGTTGAGAAGCACTGATTTAAAAGGAACTCTATTTGAGTCCTTCAAATATGCCAAAACCTAGGTTCTTGTGTGGTGTAAATTGAAAGCTGAATTCTTCAGGGAAAGGTTGACGATGGAACTACCACCTCCAGAAATGCAGTCTTGGGTGGAGGATACCTTGATTTTTGTTTATAATGTTTCTGATTATGGCAGTACTTTTGAACGTAGTCTTTCATTATAAGGCCTCTCGTTTTCACCCTGAACTTCAGCACTCTTGCGTAGATTGCTTGCTGTATATACTAACCTGATCTTTACTCAAAGGCTTAACAACATCCCCTTCGTAAAATTTCTGTCCCTCTTAGGCATAACACAAGCGCTTCACTAAAATTCATCCCAGCACTAAGTGCTGATTTGAAATGTTTTTTACAGATTTCGTTGATTTATAGTAGCTTTATTGAGATATAATTTACATACCATACAACTCATTTGAAGCGTGTCATTCATGTTTTTTTTTAGTGTATTCACAAAATTGTGCAGCCATTGCTACAATCAGAACATTTCATCACCTGTGGAAGAGAACTGGTGCTCAGCAGTAGTCACTCTTCATTCCTTTACTTTGTTTAGCATTTTTAAACAATGAGTATTAAGTTATCTTTTGTTTCTACATGCAAGAAGCTTGTTTCAACACTTCTGGAAAAGCAAGGAGTCAAACAAATGTCCTTTACTGAATTGGAGCTTTGAAGAGATGCTGATGTGTTTGTTAGTTGAGAGGAGGGAAGTAGGGAGGATTATTTTTTCCTTGAAAGTAGGAATTTTCAGGTACATGCTTGGTCTCTTAAGCTTTAAAATCTAAAAATCATTAGTTCTGGAGTTCCTGAAAACAAATTGCACTTAATTTGGGTAAGTTTAACACCAGATTAACTTCTAATTATAGTGTACTTTGGGATTTTTTTTCACTAGTTCAAGAAGAAAGATTCTAGGATTACTGCTAGAATTAGTCTGTGGAATTAATCTGGAATCTGGAATAATGCTTTTTAGCTCTTTTGTTCTTAATTATTTTCAGGAAAATTTTTCAAAATAACAGCTAAGTGATGCAGGTTTATGTAGAATCGTTTCCAAATTTATTTTGGCTTTGTAATTTAATTGCAATCTGGGTAGGTGAAATTATCTTCCTGTAACAATATGCAACTTCAAATAATGTCATTCGTGCTAATTGTTAACTGCTGTCAGGGGAAAGTAGGCGCACAAGCATGCAAAAGAAAATACAAGATCTTTCCAAGCTTTAGGATTCTTTTCCTGTGTCTAGCCCTAAAGCTAAAATGTCTTCAATTCTAGATAAGACCAAGCAGTTCCATTTGCCTAGCTCAGTACTGTTTAAAACAGAAGTCCTTGGGAAGATTGCCTTGGAGAAGGAAACAAGAACCCAGAGAGAAAGATTGTATCAAACAGGAAATAATGAGGCTTCCAAACAGTCCCTTAGCAGTCAGCAGCAAAATCAGTTGCCCAATATTTAGTTTAATCCTTTGTGTTGACGAAAAGGCAAGTGTTAGTCACATTAGATTAATTCCAAGCTGGGAGAAGGTTGGTATCATTGGAAAGATGGCAGCATTCTGGTGTTTTCCTGTTCACCTATTTGTTTGCACAAAGTTGGGGAGGGAGTTTGGAGTGAGAGGAATGTGCTAGCCACTGAGGAGGTGTTTATGTTCATTTCTATAAACCAAACCATCTAGGTAAACTTGGCCGTTTTCTTTCCAAACCTTTTCCACAATCTAATCTGTTCTTCAAGATTGCTGAAATTTCCTTCTGACATTAAAAAATTTGCTAAGTTAAACAATTAGAGGTACTGGTTTTTATTGGGCAGGGAGAAGAAAGCTTTTCAGAACCAGGAGGACCCCTCCTGAAGGGATGAGCATGTCCTCATATAATACACAGGTGTCATCATCTCTCATATAATACATAGGGTTAAGGGATTTCCCTGTAGGGAAAACTAAAATGATTGGTAGTCACTTAATTGGCAGCTTGGATTCCCATGTCTGCATTCTCTAGGCTACCTAGGAATTATTTAAACAACCTTTGAACCCACCGAGCTTTAGGAAACTGTTCATGGTTCTTTTTAAAAAATAATTTTATTAGGGGCTCACACAACTCTTTACCACAATCCATACATACATCAATGTGTAAAGCACATTTGTACATTCATTGCCCTCATCATTCTCAAAACATTTGCTCTCCACTTTAAGCCCCTGGCATCAGCTCATTTTTCCCCTCCCTCCCTGCTCCTCCCTCCCTCATGTACCCTTGATATCTAATAGTATTTTTAATGAAAAAATTGAACATAGTTAAGTCAAAGAAGCATAAATTTTTTATTGATTTTCCCCCCATTACTAAGGGGTTTAATGATAACTCAAAGGAAATTATTTCTCACATAAAAATGTTCTTCAATGGTATTAAATGTTCTTCAAAACATATCTTCAAAAAACAAAACTGATGCATCAAATTGTCAGTTTATTTATGTTTAATAGAAGCAACCAGGTTATATATTCTCTTTCAGATACAACAGAAATTTCTATAAAAAGAAATTCAATTGAATAAAACATTCTATTTCTATTTCAAAAACAATTTTGAGTTTAAAACCTGATCTCAATGATGCCCTTTAAAAATAAGAAAATACTTTCGATGAAGAGAAAAAGGGTATTTAGTTCCTAATCAACATGAAAAACAACCAAAAAATTCTATGAATTTTTAATTTTTACATGCCTATAAAGGCATGTTAGCATAATACCTGAATTGGCCAGTTCCCAGTGTGTCACCTGTAAAGAGACTGTTTCTTGCATCTCTCAGATTTTCCCGTAGTTTCTTATCTAGTTTCTAAAAATAAAAAATTTGATTAATTCTTAAATAGTTCCATAGAAGTTTACAAAGCAATAATACATAATGTAATTCTAATTTCATTGAGAATTACAACTTGCTTTCAAAAACAGTAATTCTAATATGTAAATATTTTAATTTCTTTTCTATTTCAATACTATGAGAACCTGGACTTCAAAAAGACCAATGCCCTTTCTGCTGTGTCTTAGGCCTAATTTCATCAATAAGCATTTTTCATTGATTAATTTTACCACAGAACCAGGATAAGCTTTGCAGAAACAACCCAGTCTCCCGTTCCTGCAGTGTGAGTCTGTTGTACTTGACAAGATGTCCACTTGAACGGGTGGGTAAGAGTGACAA